TAATGGCCAATGGCTCTGCAATCACAGCCGCCAATTCCTTCAGCACTCTCGGATGCAACGCGTCCGGCCCCATGGACTTGTGCACGTCCAGCTTTTCTAAATAGTCCCTAACCACCTCTATCTCCACAGAGGGCTGGCCATCTCTTCCCCATTTTGTGATGCCCAGCGCAGCAGTCTGGGAGCTGACCTTGTTAGTGAAGACAGAGGCAAAAAAAGCATTGAGTACATTAGCTTTTTCCACATCCTCTGTCACTAGGTTGCCTCCCTCATTCGGTAAGGGGCCCACACTTTCCTTGGCTTTCTTCTTGTTGCCAACATACCTGAAGAAACCCTTCTTGTTACTCTTAACATCTCTGGCTAGCTGCAGCTCCAGGTGCGATTTGGCCCTCCTGATATCATTCCTACATGCCCGAGCAATATTTTTATACTCTTCCCTGGTCATATGTCCAACCTTCCACTTCTTGTAAGCTTCTTTTTTATGTTTAAGATCCGCTAGGATTTCACCATTAAGCCAAGCTGGTCGCCTGCCATATTTACTATTCTTTCGACTCATTGGGATGTTTTGTCCCTGTAACCTCAACAGGGATTCCTTGAAATACAGCCAGCTCTCCTGGACTCCTTTCCCCTTCAAGTTAGTCCCCCAGGGATCCTGGCCATCCGTTCCCTGAGGGAGTCGAAGTCTGCTTTCCTGAAGTCCAGGGTCCGTATCCTGCTGCTTACCTTTCTTCCCTGCGTCAGGATCCTGAACTCAACCAACTCATGGTCACTGCCTCCCAGATTCCCATCCACTTTTGCTTCCCCCACTAATTCTACACTTGTGGATACCCAGCTGAATACAGTGATGCGTTGCATCACGGTAACCCTTAAGTCGACTCCAACCCCATGGATACCTGTTCTGTCTAACATCGCTCCTCTGCCGATAAGCCAAACTGCTGCGACATTCCACAAAGCTAAGCAAATCCAGGAAAACAGATGTCTTCCTATCCACCAAGACCTTGACAGCGCCCCCACACTGCAATGTCTTAAACCCGGAAGCCTTTCTGTGCACATTCATTTAGCCTCATGCAATCAGGCTACGATCAGGAGGAGGCTTGGAAAGCAGATTGGGCTAAACAAGGCTTAAAAAATAAGCACCTTGTGCCAGATCCCATGCAGAAGGTTCTTGGGTTTGACCTTCCACCGTCATCTTGGTCAACTTTGAACCGAATCCAAACCAACCATGGTAGTGTGTGGACATCTAATGCACAAATGGAAAATCAAGGACTCCCCGGTTTGGTTCCTCACAACAGGCCATTGAACATATCAGTACCTACTGCCCAATTGATAAATATGAAGGAGGCATTACTGCAATAAACTCTGCTCCTCCTGTTGTAGCCATTTGGCTTGATCAACTTCAGGTGAAATTATAATTGCTGCTCTACACTAGCCATGCAGAAGAAGAAGAGAAATTATTCACTTCCAGGGATGTACCTCACAGAGTACACCCCATGCGATGGGCCATTGGACCTCATCAGGAACTCCTGGGACGATGGCACTGAGGCAGAAGGGGAACCACTGGCTGAATATGTACAGAAATTTAGGAAAGATTTATAAACTATGATGGAAATTGTTTAGCAAAACCTCACTAAAAGCCATCTGCATGGAAACTGTGGCATGACCGCAATGCCTGTGAGCAATCGTTTGATGCAGGGGGACTTGGTGATGGCGTACTCTTGTAAAAAGGCACAAAATGCAGAATTCATGTGTAACCCTTCTGCCAGGTTGAGTCGGCAACAGCAAGGGCTTGGTTCAATGTTTAGGGGTTTCTCTTAACAACAGAAAACAGAACTGGCCTGAGCCCCCCCATAGTAATCTGGGAAAACGAAACACTACCCGTGAGTGCCTCTAAGAGGCAATGCTTCCCCTCTCTCAAGCACCAAGTGTGTGTAAAACAAAATCAAACTTTCATTAAAAGGGAAAAGAGGACAGAACATTAATTTGGAAAAACACTACAACCATAATCAAAAGCACATGACCATAGGCAAACACCCACCCCCCACAGTAGGTTGGGCAGTGTCCTTTGCCTCAGTTTTTCATCTTGCAGCATGAAAGTCCAACAAACGAATGTCCCTTAACACACCACTCCCCTTTCCCGCCATGGCACCACACTCACAGTTGGTAGTCCTTGGTTAGTGAAGACCCAGAGTTCAGAGGTCTGTTCGTGGACAGGGGGAGGGGCCTTGGACAATGCCTCTGCTGCCACTGGCTGCCATCCCGCTGCCTCTTTCTGCTGTGACATCATATTCTGAGGTTCTACTACTAACCCAGCTCTCAGTGATTTCAGCAGATATTGGGGAATCTCACTGCCAGTGCAGTTTCTGGGTTGCCTTTCTCTGTCCCTACACGAAGTCTAAGGCTTAGACTTGCTCAGAAATCAGGGCAGCTCTAGGAATCACCAGCTGGAAACAAGGGCTCTTAATTGAGTCTAATCAGCTCTGTCATTAAATGCTACAGAAGGATAGGCCAAATGGTATCTAGGACTCTCTAGGCAGCAGCCACACCACCACTAGGAACAACTGTTCCCACTCAGTCTCATCTTCACTGGGATTTGGCATCTCTACCCCCTACTTAGCAAGCAAGGTTCAGTTTAGGGTGACCCCCTCAATCAGGGCATGTTAAGCATAGTTCTGCTGCCCTTTACTTGTACAATAAGGATAACATTTCATTACTCCTGCATTCAAATACTAGAGTGATTTGTGACCCTGCGCCTGCTGCCTGACTCTGACTTCCTGGTATCCCGACTTTGCTCCTCATCTTGCCCCTGATCTGCCCCATGACCTGTCTCAGACTCTGATAACCTGAGTCTGCCTGCTTCCTGACACATGGCTTCGTCTGCCCTCTGGCTTGTCTTGGACTCTGATCTCCTGTCAACTTGACTCTCGGTCTGTCCTTGGGCCTATCGCAGATTCTGGTCCACAGGTATCCAGATCTGGCCTGCCTCCTGGCCCCCAACTGCTGCTTTGACCACTAGGTCAGACCGCCTATGTCCTGGTCAATGACACTAAGCACTCTAGACCTAACAAAGGGCTATTGGTAAATCCCATTAAACATCAAAGCACTGACAAAATCCACCTTCATTACTGATTTAGGACTTTTTGAGTTTAAAGTGTTACCTTTTGGGTTAATTAATGCAGGAGCCATCTTTCAGAGGCTTGATAGTCAAGTGTTAGGTTACAAGACTTTGCATAAGTTTATATGGATGACATTGCAATATTTAGCAATTCTTTGTCAGATTATAAAAATATCTTGGGAATTGTGCTGACAAAATTCAGAGATGTACATCCCACTGTGAAAGTGTCAAAATAGGAGCAATCAAAGATCCTTATTTAGGACACTGGGAAGGAGGTGGCTAAGTTTCCCCAGATCCTTTGAAAGCAGAATCCATAGTTAACGGGCCTATAGCCAAGACTAAAAAACAAGACCAATCTTTCATAGGCTTGGCTAACTACTACTGCTGATTTGAAAATGGTTTCAGTGACATTGTGTCTGCTTATCACAGAGTTGTGCAAAAAGACAAGACTCAACAAAGTAATATAGATGGCAGCCTGTCAGAAAGATTTCAGTGAGATAAAGAAAATCCTGTCCTGACCAGTCCAGATTTTGACAGAATGTTTGAACGGTCTATGCCTCTATTTGTTTACATATACATTTGAGTATTGTTGAGTATATTTGAGGGATAAACATAAGTAGCATAAATTTGATGCAGGGAAGGTTAATTAGAGGTGAAAAGAGATGTTCTTTTAAACTTGGCTTAACATATTTTGACTAGAGTATGGTGAATTGTTGGAACTACAAGGACCACATTAATCTTCACACTCAACAAAAGCAGGCACTGATGTGCTGTATAGTATAACACCGGATACGCAGATACCATCTGTTACATGTAAAGTTTATTACCAGAAGTACAGAGGAAACAATTTTGATAGTTTAAGAAAGATTCAATAACATTAAACTACATGGCGCATGCATCATGCTAAGCCTTTTGTACTTGTATGATCACTACAGTTTTATTAAGCTTTTTCATAAATATATAGCTACATAGTAATTGCATATTGCTGAAAATTTGTTGTTAATTACTCTGAGAAGATCCATAGTAATTGCTATAATCATATGTACCATGGTTAAGATAAATTGAAATAATAATGGATTTATAACAGCACGGCATTCACTGTGTCTATACACAATATTCTCGCACTGAATGGCCCTCATTTTGTAATCAACTTGCCAGTCACCATGTAAGTAAAGAGCTTTTAAAGGATATTTGTGCCTTGTAACTTAGTGATGCAAAGCAATTTTTGATTAATGGACAAAAAATGAGGATATAGCATGTTGTTTCTCAGTAGATAACATGGCAGTTTTCTTTCAGCTTGATCCAAGTACCATTGAAGTAAATAGCCTCCCACTGTACTTATGTGGCTGTGTCTACACTGCAGAATTTTGTTGCCAAAAAGCAGCTTTTGGTGACGAAACAGTGGAGGTGTACGCACTGCAGTGCCACTTTTTTCAGCAAAACTCTTCAGTTTCGACAACAAAATGAAACCACTTCAACGAGAGGCATAAAGCTTTTTGTGGCAAACTTAAAGCGACAAAGCGTCAGTGCAGCTGCTGCCATTTGTTATATTGCCTTACTGGCCTCTCCCAGTATCCCACAATGCCCGCTGTGACCACTCTGCTCACCGTTTTGAACTCAGCTGCCCTGCAGGCATGCACCCTCTCCCCTTTCAAAGCTCCAGGAAGTTCTGACAGCACCACGAATACAGATTTCAGAGTAACAGCCATGTTAGTCTGTATTCGCAAAAAGAAAGGGAGTACTTGTGGCACCTTAGAGACTAACCAATTTATTTGAGCATGAGCTTTCGTGAGCTACAGCTCACTTCATCGGATGCAGTTTCCACAGTATGCATCCGATGAAGTGAGCTGTAGCTCACAAAAGCTCATGCTCAAATAAATTGGTTAGTCTCTAAGGTGCCACAAGTACTCCTTTTCTTTTCACGAATACAGAGGCAGGCAGGCAGAGGCATGTGTGTGTATGTCTGTGTGAGAGAGAGACTGCTGTGCTGTGCAGCGCCAGGGTGGGGGGCTGATGTCAGGGATGTCCCCCTCCCCCTGCCTCAGGACTGGTTCCTTCTGGTGGCTGTCTGAATTTAGAAGTTGGGGGAGTTTTGTTCACTCTCCCCAATGCACACACTCCCGCAACACACATTGTCTCTGTCTCCCCACACACACACACACGCTCCCTGTCACACATACTCCCCCCTCCCCTCACACACTTTAGTTGAAAAGCAGCTGGCAGTCTAGTAGGATGTCCACGGGACCACGGAACGATGGGATTGAGAAACCTGCAACATATGACGCTGTATCTGCCCCATGAGGCATTGCAAACCCTTCCCAAAGCACCCTATGGCCAGTTGCACAGTGCACTGCTCTCTGTGTCGATGCAAGAGCTGCTAATGTGGATTCACTCTGCAGACACAAGGAGCATACTGTGGAAATGCAACAGCAGTTTAATCAAAGCACTTTAATTAAAGCAGCATAAAACTTTTGGCGACAAAACAGTCCAATCCAACTCCCATTGAAGTTTAATCAAGTAATTTTTGCCATTAACTCTAAGAAGTTCAGAGGCATCTCCCTGCTGATGCTGCTTATATTGTCTCTTCAATCTCTTTGGTCTGGGAGGAGACAACTTTGCCATCAATCAGCTCCTCAACAACTGTCTTGATCTTCCTAATTTTATTTATTTCTGGAAATAAAATTGCACAGAGTGTTAATTAAAACATTTATATTAATATATTTTAATGTTTACTTCAGTAACTAGCTCTATACTTTTAGTTTTCCAGCCTGTTGAGCAAACATATTTGGAAGAAAAGGAGTACTTGTGGCACCTTAGAGACTAACCAGTTTATTTGAACATAAGCTTTCCTGAAACCTGTCATATTTGGAAGCACTGCCTTAATCCCACATTGGCATAATCGAGTGGAACATCAGAAAATTTGAAACACACATGAAAAAGAAAAGTTAAATTACTGATCATGTATAATTTTGCTCTTCAGTTTAACAGTGGGTTTAAGAATGAAAGTGCCATTTATTGTAAAATAGATATTGAGCTTCTTCTTAAGTGTAAATGATATGCTTATTTCAGTCTGAAGTCAAAATTCTGGGTTTTCAGGTGTCATATTAGTAGAGTGCCTGCTGGTCATAGCTGGGGCAAATGGAAGTGTTCACTTTCACTTGTTTGGAAAAAATCCCTCATTATGGAAAAGAATAAACAAAATAGTACTGTCCAATTCATGTGTGGGCTGAGGCCAGTTCTAGGGTGGAGGTGGGGGAATACCTATGTAAAAGGGAAAAGGAGTACTTGTGGCACCTTAGAGACTAACCAATTTATTTGAGCATGAGCTTTCGTGATGAAGTGAGCTGTAGCTCACGAAAGCTCATGCTCAAATAAATTGGTTAGTCTCTAAGGTGCCACAAGTACTCCTTTTCTTTTTGCGAATACAGACTAACACGGCTGTTCCTCTGAAATATGTAAAAAGGGAAGCATCAAGGACAATGCATGTCATCTCTTGAAGAATATACAGCTGAACACAAGGAGGCGCCAGTCCCGTAAGTGTGAATATGCAAAGGTGACACTAGTAGCTGTTTTGTGATAGTAAGTAAACTTTCTTTCTTGGTGTACAGAATATGGTTTCTCCAATTACTGAACATCCTGTACATCACCCTGAACTTTTTACAGAACATTGTTTTGAGTGAATCTTTTATTCCTCCTGAGCATATTTTGGTGGTTGGGTTTTGTACAAACTGAATAGTTCTAAGGTGCTTTTAACGGAAACATTACATTGAGAGTTATATAGTCAGGCAATTGAATTGGCAATTTTGCCGTAAGATTTCACTGATTTAATATTTGCATCTGAAAGACTTATAGTACCTCAATTTGTTTTCTATCAGCTTAATTAATTTTAATGCAGCCAAATTAGTAGCAACCAAATATAAAAATATGAAAACAAAAATTTAAGTGACATACCTCTCTCAGACTCTTCAATAGTAGATATTTCTGACTGTAAAGGTCTGTTAAATATATGAATAAAACATACTTTGTAAATAAAGGTGCTTATTAAATTTAAGAAATGTTGAGATCACTGATCTTTGTACATTTAATTTGTTCACTTAAACCCCAATACAGCAAGGTACTTAAACATGTGCTAAACATTGTTTTTCTTGTTAAATTCCTTGGATTAATCTCACTCAGTTCTACAAACAGTTATCTCTGGGGGGAATGGAACAAAGCCTAAGTAAATGAACTTTGTGTCAGGTACTGTGAGGAGGCTTGGTGGATACTGAACCAACCAACTTCTTTAGCAGCCTCTAGAATGTCCTCTCTGCAGCTGAATGTGGTGACTAACTGACTGACTGTCAGCAGGAAAAAGAGAGCGGAGCTCCTTGAAAAGTCGCTACCACATTTGGGTTATATGGAATGGGAAAGGAGGACAGACTTACCTGAGAGTAGCCAACGAGTCAACAGGAAGTAACGACCAGTTGGGGGCACTGACCCACCATGTGCACCAGGGGGAAGGGGAGCGTATTTTTAACCTGTACATTCCGGAACACACACTCTCTGTCTTTCAATCACTGATCAGCAATAGTTTCTGCAAGGAGGTGTGACAATGCAGTAATGCTTGTAGCCTGCTTTACTAAAGAGTGCCACATTGTTTTCAGACCCACTGGCCAAGTCCCAGATTGTCCACATCTTCTCTCCCCATGCTGCTTTGCAGAGATATCCATGGTGCAAAGGATAATGAAGAGCGCCCTTGTGCTACCAATCAGGTTGCCCCAGAAGCTGAACAGTTCAGTGCCATAGTTTAGAAAAGACGTTACCATATACAACAAGGGTACTTGTAATTGGTCATTTCACTGTTACTTTTTGTGGGGGAAGCATTTGTACTCATTTTTTAAAATACAAATATTTTTCTATTTTAGAGCATAATTACCTTCTCACTTTGCTTGTTTGTCTTTGACTTTCATTCTCTTTAGTTTCAGCCAGACTGGACACCACCAGTAGAGTAACCAGTGTTGGCAGGAACAAATTTTAATATGCAGAAGTATCCTTTATCCATTCATTTTATTGAATGCAAGTGTAATTCAACATCTGTCCTCTTTTTACCCCTAGGCAGCCTTTATAAAGAGTATTTAGAATAATTGCTGACTTTGGGGGGGGGAGGGATAGCTCAGTGGTTTGAGCATTGGCCTGCTAAACCCAGGGTTGTGAGTTCAATCCTTGAGGGGGCCATTTCGGGATCTGGGGCAAAAACTGGGGATTGGTCCTGCTTTGAGCAGGGGGTTGGACTAGATGACCTCCTGAGGTCCCTTCCAACCCTGATATTCTATGATAGAAAACTGAACTAAACAGCAGACTTCACTGATACTCAGTTCCTTACCTACTATCCTCTCCCTCCAGTAGGCGTCGGTAAGTGGCAATCTCCATTTCCAACCGTGTCTTTATGTTCAGCAGAGAACTGTACTCAGAACTCTGGCTCTCCATGTCAGCTCGAAGCTGCATCAGCTGTGCCTCTACATTGCCAATTGCAGCCTGTATTTGGGCAAGTCGTGAACCATAAAGTGCTTCAGTCTCAGCCAGTGTGTCTTCTAAAGCCTTTTTCTACAGAAGGTGAAATAATAGAGGACTTACTTATTTGTATTTTTAAATTATGTTTACATTGAAAGACCTTGTAGTTCCTTGTTTATCCAAACAACTATCTGTTAAAGATATTCCCTATGTTAAATTTTAGATATGCTTTACCGTAATAAGCTGGGACTGCAGCTCTATCTCCAGACCCTGGAAAGTGCGTCTCAGATCTGTGATCTCAGTTTTTTTGGTTTGCAGTTGTTCAATGTTAATAGCGACTTCCTGGTTCACTTCTTCTGTCTGAAATACAAAGAATGGAAAAGAAGGTGTAAAGACAGTGAAGTTCAATTTTAAATCTTGACTGAACTCCTTGTGAGGTGCTGCTGCTATATGATCAGTGAGACTTTACCTGTTTATCAAAGTGGTCTTTGGCCTCTTGACGATTCTTTTCTGCCATGCTATCATATTGCTGTCTCATGTTTTCCATAATCTTGGCAAGATCAGTGCTCGGAGCAGCATCCACCTCTACATTAACTGTGCCCCCTAGCTGTTTACGCAGTTCACCAACTTCCTACAAACAATAATGATTATAGATAATTCTATATTTATGAACATCAGTTAAGCTTTTAAATAGGAAGAGAAACGTGCAGTCATCTTAAGACAGAAAGACAGAAACAAATTCAAAATGCATAGAAATAGGGCTATAAAAAGTAATTCCTAGGCCTGCGTTAGCACCTTTCTTCAGAGACTCTCAGTCACTTTACAAATATTAATTAAAACCTTACAACCCACCCCCTCTGATGTACTGTTTTCCCCATTTTATGGCAGAGAAAACTGAGATACTGAGGTGAAATGTTTCAGAGTAGCAGCTGTGTTAGTCTGTATTCGCAAAAAGAAAAGGAGTACTTGTGGCACCGTAGAGACTAACCAATTTATTTAAGCATAAGCTTTTGTGAGCTACAGCTCTCTTCATCGGCTGCATGCAGTGGAAAATACAGTGAGGAAGATTTATATACATAGAGAACATGAAACAATGGGTGTTACCATACACACTGTAACAAGAGTGATCACTTAAGGTGAGCTATTACCAGCAGGAGAGGGCGGGTGCGGGGGGGGGACTTTTGTAGTGATAATCAAGGTGGGCCATTTCCAGCAGTTGCCAAGAACGTCTGAGGAACAGTGCAGGGTGGCGTGGGGGGAATAAACATGGGGAAATAGTTTTACTTTGTGTAATGACACATCCACTCCCAGTCTCTATTCAAGCCTAAATTAATTGTATCCAGTTTGCAAATTAATTCCAATTCAGCATTGTTGGAGTCTGTTTTTGAAGTTTTTTTGTTGAAGAATTGCAACTTTTAGGTCTGTAATCGAGTGACCAAAGAGACTGAAGTGTTCTGATTTCCCCAAGGTCATAGTGAGCAGTGTCAGAACTGTGACTAGAGTGCAGGAGTCTTGGCTCCCAGTTATCTGGTTTTGCATTTAGTGGTGGCCCATAGAACCAAAGGATATTCTTTAAACTAAAGGAAGACCATCACACCTTAATTTTCAGAGCCTCTAAAATGTCATGTTTTTCTACACAGTTAGAAAGAAAGTAGGTATGAAAAAGTTAATACTATGACTTATGATTGCTAAGAGGAATCATTTTGTGTTATGGATTGTAACAAAGGAAGCCTAACGTATGACACAATTCAGGCTTTCTGTTAGTAACTAATAGAGTAGCAGGTTAATTCCAGATTTCAGTTATGTGACCCTACTTCTTGAAAAGAACGGAAGAAACCAAGATTGGTTAACATTCTTAGTTTTATCTTTTCACTTTATGTCTCAAATTATAAAGTTTATGTTTTTTCAGATTAACCATGGAATTTTCAGTATTCTTAACAAGATTTGCATGTGTCAAATGTTTTCTGTGTGTCATTGAGAAAATATGTGAATTCTGAATGAGTTTCTCTGCTGCTCTCACCTCTTCATGGTTTTTCTTGAGGAAAGTCAGCTCTTCATTCAGACCTTCAATCTGTAGCTCTAAGTCTGCCTTTGACAAGGTCAAGTCATCAAGGACTCTGAGTAGTCCAGCAAGATCATTTTCCACATTCTGTTTGATTGCTAGCTCATTCTCATACCTGGAAAATAAATGTTCATTCCAGCATCATTAATATATAATTACTAATGTGCAATTAATATGTAATTAATTACTGATATGCTTTACCGTGATAAGCTAGGACTGTAGTTCTGTCTCAGAGAATCACAAACTATTACTATCTCTCTCTGCAAATTGCCTTTTTACTGACTCTTTAGGGACAAACAGTTTAATTCTCAATTTTAACTCCAATAACTTTATTACCAAGACAAGATATACACGTATATGTAGGGTTTCTCTGTGGGAATAGGGCAGGTGGGATTTATGTAATGTATCCATTTTGTATTACTATTCAATTTCAGTGATCTGAAGGCATTCAGTTCTCTCCTAAAAAACACACATTTGCCAGAAGACCCCGCTGGCTTTTAAAGAGATCACTTGACTGACATTTGGGGAGGACATCACATTAATTCATCATAGAAACTTACTTCATTCTAAAGTCATCAGAAGCCAGCTTGGCATTGTCGATCTGCAGAACGAGCCGGGCATTTTCCAGATGTGCAGCACCAATCTGGAAAAGAAGATGATAGATTGTAAAGTAATCTAGAGTTAGCAAACCAAACCAATATTTAAATGTTATAAAAATAACTTTGGATGACATTTTGAAATATGGAATCTGTGCCAGCAATCAGATTGTTCTGTTTTCAGAAAATCTTGATATATAGGCAGATACATTCCTCTCTAATTTATAGTGTTAAGGGAAGGCAAATCTAAGGTTACCTGTACTCTTCAGAGACTACACTATATGCTGTCGGCATAGTCCCTTAGGGACAAAGCAAATGAAGATTAAATAAAACATTGAAGCACAGATTAAGTTATGGAAAAAGAGATGTCTTATACATTGAACTTCTAGTTGTTTGTGATTTGTGACCCCATCTTAACTTAAAGATTGATTTGTGTTATTACAAACTATAACCCTGTCTCTACAAAGAATGGTAAGTGATATTGTTGACATTTTGCCATTGTTTCAAGCTTCTCATTTCCAGAACTGGAGGAAGAAGGAAAGAAAACTACAGACTTTGAAAAACTAGGGAAGAGATATGAGACATAAAATAGAAGGAAAAATGTAAATAATGTTAGTGCATGTACCCACACATACATTATGTTTCAGTTTGTGTGTGTGTGCACGCGCATGCATGCATATTTCCCTGCTTCTGGTGGATTTCATTCCCATCTCTAGATACCACTAAAGTGTTCCTGCCATGGTTTATTATTATGCTAGATCTTAGCTATGTCTGAAGACCAATTAATTTTTTTTGCCTTTGGAATGCACCAGATTGCACCACAGAGCGGGTGTTTTTTGTAAAAATTCCTGGAGCAGAATATGCTTGGACTCTGTCACAAAGAATTTAGGGTAATTTGTAAAATATATCTTGTAGGCTGGCCAAAAGGTATGGTCCAGACCACTTGATGCTGTAAACAAGAAAAAAATCTCAAGACCATAGAAAAATTAAAACACAAACTATGGGCAACGTTGAAGAGAGGCCTATCAAAATCTCAAGGCTCACATCTCCAGCAGGAAAAAAAAAATGAAATGGGCTGGGGAGCCCATTTTTATTAAAATTAAGAAGAGTGTTTAACAGGGGAGGCCACTTTTTGAAGAAGCTTTTGAAAAAATCTTCAGGAACATCAAAAACCATGATGTAAATGTTACATTAAGTATGGTGTCATATGTGTGAATTGATTCTTTCCACAGTTTCCTCCCTCATCATGTCATAATCTTAGGAGCCACGCATTCTGTCAGTCGTGATATTTTGACAAGGGAGATTTTTTTGCAGGTATAAAGATGGACGCTCATGAATAATGCCTATAGGTCAGACATTGGAAAGACACTGGTTTCCTGTAAATGAAAGCTGCACCTAGTTTGCTCGGCATAGTAGTCAGAAAGTGACTTCCCTCTAGATCTACAATGAACTGGATTTTAAAATAAAGTTTAAAACCTTAATCCACATTGCTGAATATCTTGCTGTTAGAGACCTTCTCTTTGGAATGTAATATTTGTGACACTGGCAACATGGGGTCCGATATGTAAAATGATGAGACATTTTCCTTTACTGCTACTTGAACAGTTGAAAAAAGATTAAGTATTAATGTTTTTGTGTAAATAGTCAACAGAATGTTTAAATAAATAATAAAAAATGACAACTGAAATTACTTGGGGAAATTAGTTAATTATGAAACTGCAAAGAGAACTTTGGATTTTTAGATTTCCTCAATAAACAGCACCTCCCAGATAACAATCTGTTTATTTACTGTTGTCCAGGTGTAAGAGATTAGATTACACACACACACACTCACGAAGAAAAACAAAGTCTAAAAGTCTGATGTGAAGCCCACAAATACATAGCAATCCACAGAGATAACCAAAATGCTGTCTTTAAAAAAATACTCACTATTATACATAGATAAATAAAATTAATGGATGCTGGGAGACCTTTTTAATAAACAATTTAAGATGAGCTAAGAAAGGAATTTTACCATTTACTCTAAATTTCCTGTCTTTTGTAGGTATAAATCTGATCCTTAACGTCGCTTTATCTTGGGTTTTTTTTATTCCGTGATATTAAGAAATATGTTACTTGTCATTGAGTGTTTGGTGATCCATTCATACGTTGATTATGACAAACTGTAACAGCACTTTCAAAGCCTTTAAAGCCTTCTATGAACTTAGAACTTCTGAAATAATTTACATTAATATGAAGGTAAGTGTCTAAACTTAGAGTGTGTGACCTTCTACAACATTGAGGAAAGAATTAAAGTTTTATATTCTCACACTCCAGTTGTGAGTGTGGTTAATTGGATACGGCAATGTAATGAGAGGCAGGAAACATTAGTTCTGTCCTCACCCCTGCTCTTGATTTGGTGTATTATCTTGGGCAAGTGACTTCACTTCTTTGTGCCTCAGTTTCCTCAGCTGTAAAATAGGGATAATTATATCTTCTCTAGAAAGCCCCACTTTGAAATCTACAGTTGAAAAACCCTATATTATGTAATTATAGAAGAATTAATTCAGCCTTTATGATAGATTTTGAACTGTTAGGTTACACATATCCATAGACATTTTTATAGCAATATAAAATGAGATGTGATAAACTGACTTTGCACAATTTAACCTGCATCTTGCCAAAGTTAAATGGTTAATGTACATACAGTGAGGTCACAGTGAATTGAAAAAAAAATATTCACAGCTAGCTGACTCTCTTCATTCTCTAATAATTGGAGTACAGAAGCATATAAAGTTACAAAATAATGGATACTTTTATGATTTCTTACCTTGTTTTGGAGGTCTTCAATGGTTTTAAAATATTGACTGTGGTCATGCGTTGTAGTTGAGGATCTATTCCCATAGTACTCCCTGATCTGCTTTTCAAGCTGGGAGTTGGCTTTTTCTAGAAAATGCACTTTCTCCAGATAGGAAGCCAAACGGTCATTCAGATTTTGCATGGTCAGTTTCTCATTTCCACCAAGCAGGATGTCACTACTGCTGGTGTTGAGTTGAAATCCACTGCCAAAGCCACTACCAAAGCCTCCTCCATAGTTAGTGCTGGTGGAAATGCGGGTGCCATAGCCACCAGCTCCCCCATAGACACTCGGTGCCTGATACTTTCGGATAGCTGTTTTCCTGTAGGTTGAACCACTTAGACTGGGTGCAATAGGCTGGAAAGTGGAGCTTGTACCAGTAAGGTAGCTTTGGCTGGAGAGTGACATTGGTGGTGTTTTTGTTTTTAAAAAATAGCTAAAGCACCACAAGATTGAGAGCAGCTAGAGTGGAGAGCACTGTATGCTTCTTGATCTTTTATACTTTATCTGAAAAAGAGGCATGACAGTTGTAAACTCCACCTCTGCTGACACATAGTTTAATTGGGGTCAACACCACCAACTCTTAGCATCTTGCTCAGAGTAATGTAACAGAACTTTAATTTGTTCATGTGTGCGCCAGGAAAAGTCCCCAGGTAGTGGGGGCATCTTTGTGATTTTTTTAGAGAAAAGGTAAAACACTATTGAAAAATGTATTGCATTTTACCTGAGGCCACAGTCTCGATATCCCTTTTGAAAAAAACAAAGGAAATATTTTACTCCCTATTTGTAGATTATGGTATAAAAAAAGCAGAGGTGTGTGTAGGTAACGAGGGGCATAAAACTTGGTTAGAGTCAATAATATATTTCTACTGACAAGACAATAGTCACTGCCCGAGAAACGATTTAGAATAATAGTAGTATGTTTGTATAATCTAATTAGGCAGATGATTAGAAAGATTACTTTTGTATTTACCATGGTCATTTATTTTATAGTAAATGGAAAACAGCATTAACATTTAAAACAGACATTAAGCATTTGTGATTTAGCAAAGGTAAGGTATGTTACATATAAATATAATATGGGTTTTAAACAAGAAATCCTTACTATAATTTAAAATGAACAGACTTTCAATACACTTGAAAATAAAAAGAATATTACTTTGTCATATGATGTAAGTAAATGCAACTTAAACAACAGGACAAGAGCATTTGAAATCTCATTGCTCACCTTCATTTCCATAGCAGCAACTGCATCAATGGAGCTATACCAGGGATTAAGTTTAGCCAAGTTAATTTATCGTAGACATACTTACCTGCCCAGTGTAGCTGGTCTCAAACACTTTTTGCACTCTCGTGTGGCTGAAGTTAAAGTGAAACGAATAAGCTTTCATTATATATTCTTTTCTTGTTTTATATGCTCAACAGATAAAAGTATATGTATTAATTTGAGCTGTATTTTGGCAACTACAATAGGTTGCACTCTGTGTATTAATGATTAACATTAACTGATTATGTTGGCATGTTAGTAAAAAACCATTCTACTTTTCCAGTACACTTGTTTCCTTTATTAAAAATTAAAAAAAAATATTTTGCTTAAAAACACAACATTTCTTTCCTCCAACCCACCCATACACACGTACACACACACTGTGTCCACTTGGCTATTTTCTAAAGAAATTTGAAGATTTTAGACTGTTCCCTGTCATCTGACAGAATGGTTTAGTTTCCAAATGTTGGTGATACTACAGTTCTCCTCTACACAGAATTGTTATATCTCAAAGAAACAATTAACCCTTAAAGAAAGAGAATATATCTTTGTATCATTCAGGACCAATAAAAAGGTAGGTTAGAGTTCGCAAATTACTTAGGTATCTGGCATCATATGCACACTTTTACTTTCTTTGTTATAGATATATGATAAAAACAAAAGGGTTGTGTGCCAGTGACAAATATTTGCTAATTTGAAAAATGTATTTTTACTTGCACAGTTCCATTTTCGTTTATTTGAACTAGAAGACCTACTAATGCTGTTGCTGTTGATAAAGGAAGGCGGGGAAGAAAGGAATGTGGCTAGTAGGTTCAGGATTATTCGGATCCACTGACAACCTCATTTAGGGCAAGTATGGAGACAGTAGCAATGCTGTAGTAGAAGCTGTGTAGAAGTTGCTGCTGTGGTCATGGCTTAGGAGGGAAGAAAGATTCTTTTGCCCCAGTCCTGATGGAGTTCCCCTTTGTTTTCTCTGGTGCTGTGCTAGGAACAGGGATGAAATGCTGGCTCATTGAAGTTAATGGCAAAACTCTCATGGACTTCAATGAGGCCAGGATTTCACACCAGGATTTCTGCTTAAGTGTCCCACTTACACTCATAGGTGAGTGATTCAGCAATGAGGTTATAGGGTCTGTGACAGGGTCGGGCCAGATGGCTAGAGGAGAGTAATATAAGGCAGATATATTAACCCCAGGCTAAGTAGGTCCTTTTTCCCTGGGTAAGGTAACAGGGAAGGTTCCAGAAAAATCGGGAAGCTTCTGGACACAATTAAGGCAGGCTGATTAGAACACCTAGCCAATCAAGAAGCTGCTAGAATCAATTAAGGAAGGCTAATCAGGGCACCTGGGTTTTAAAAAGGAGCTCACTTCAGTTTGTGGTGTGCGTGTGAGGAGCTGGGAGCAAGCGGCACGAGGAGCTGAGAGTGAAAACGCGGACTGTTGGAGGACTGAGGTGTACAAGCATTATCAGACACCAGGAGGAAGGTCCTGTGCTGAGGATAAAGAAGGTGTTGGGAGGAGGCCATGGGGAAGTAGCCCAGGGAGTTGTAGCTGTCGCCCAGCTGTTCCAGGAGGCACTCTAGACAGCTGCATTCCACAGGGCCCTGGGCTGGAACCTGGAGTAGAGGGCGGGCCCGGGTTCCTCCCCAGATCCTCCCAACTCCTGGTCAGACACAGGAGGAATCAACCTGGACTCTGGGTTCAGAAAAACGGCCAATCTGAGGGCTGCCGTGAAGCTCCAAGGTGAGCAAATCCGCCAATAAGCGCAAGACCCACCAAGGTAGAGCAGGAACTTTATCACAGGTCTGTTTTCTACTTTCTCTGCAATGTGCACACAGAACTATCAGGTTTCTGTAGCAGGAGACTGACTGTCTTTTACATCCCATGATTAACCAATTACCAAAATCAGTGGGGCTCAATGATCTTACTAGGTAAACTATTCTGTAAGCTGAACATTGGGCACAGGTGTTTATGTGCCAAATACAGGGAGATAAAGCTAGGGAAGAAATGGGTTATTGAATGAATTTTTCAGAACATGAATGGCATAGGTGTTCACAGAACAGACAATAGCTCTAGAACTTCAGGGCATTGCAGTTAATTTACCTTATTAAGTAGAACAGCAGAACAGTCAAAAAAGCACACAGGGCTTTCATAGTTTAAAGTAGCTATACCAGATGCTGGTGTTCAAAGCTTGGATCAGAGAAATTGTTGGAGCTTGTTATTCAAAAGCAGTCTCCTTGTTTTCCTTTGGTTCCCTGCTGTGGAGGAAAATGGGTATGGCAGCTTCTTGGAGTTTGTAGAAAGGTTTAGGAAATTGAAATAATCATGCAATAAATTGTGGTGGAATTAATTTTGCAATAATTACATGGTCATGCATTAATCGTGACTAACAGTTCAGGATGACAAGGGTTAACACCACACCTTTGTGCAGTTGTGCATATATCAAGAAAGTGGCATGTGAAAAATTAGCTAATACCTAGAGAATGCTATATAGGTTTTAGTGAGTTACAAGGACATTCTATCTATTTGTTCGGGTGACAACATAAACCACAAGAGTGAAGCCTAAGATGGATGAAGTCATCATTAATTTGTTTGAGGAAGGAAGAGAAACTTTTCTTCTGTCAAATGGCAAATTTAGCATCAAAAAAGAAAAAAGCAAAGGATTCACCATTTTCTGTCTTTTTAAATTAACTTTGATAAACTAGTTGGAAAGTAAAACAATAACTACAACCAAAAACCTATTTGCTGCAGACCACAACAAGAAGTGTGAAGTGTTCTGCCTCAGACGGGGGTCCAGTCAGGGTTACCTGTCAGATGTCTTTCTTATCCTTTGGGCACTGGGACTGCTGTAGGCCTTCCCCTTGGTCCCTGTGATACTGACAGTCCTGAGGAAACTGAGGCAAGATCTAGGATTGATTATTATGACCATCCCTGCATAGGCAAAGCAGTTCTGGTGTTTGGATTTGGTGACTCTCTCAGTGCAATCCCCGATTACTTTGCCTGCTCTGTCTGACATAGTCTCACAAAACCATGGTCACATCATACATCCAGACCCAATATTATTACATCTGGCAGCCAGGATGCTGGCTGGATGACATCCACTGAAAGAAGAAGTTCAGATGAAGTTTGGAACATTCTACTCCAAAGCAGGAAAGCCTCAACCAGACTTATAAACCTAGGTGGAAGAGGTTTTCTATTTGTCTATCTCAGCAGCATCTCTCTCCTTTGACATGACCCATTTCACCAATATTGGACCATGTGCTAGCCCAGAAACAATTGGGACTTTCTTATCAGTTCTATAAGGGGCCATTTAGCAGCAATATCTGCACATTGCTCTGCTATCCAGGGCCATACTGTATTTTCTCACCCTCTTTATTCATGTTTTCCCCCAGTTCGGGAGTTCCCTCCCCCTTGGGACCTCAACATTGTAATAACTGGGTTGATGGGTCCCTAATTTGAGCCCTTAGGTGGCATAGGGAGCAGGTTTCTGTCAGTGAAGAAATAGCTTTTTATAGCTATTACATAAGCTGGAAGGATAGGGGAGATTCAGGTCTTCAAGGGAGGTCCCTCTTCTACAGTGCTTCATAAGGACAGTGTTACTGTTAGGCCTTAGCTTAAGTTTCTGGCCAGGGTTGTTTCAGAGTTCCATATGAACCAGTTCATTCATCTGACAGTTTTCTTCCCCAAACCTCAATCAGCCTTGGCAGAAGCTAAATTTCAGACACTTGATACAGTAAGGGAATTATTATACCACCAACAGGAAAAAAATCATTCAGGAACACATCTACCCCCAGTTTGTGGCCTTTGTTGAAAGGGTTGAGGGTCAGGCCATATCTTCACAGACAATTTCAGAATGGGTCTCCTCATTTTTAAGAACATGTTATAAATTAGCCAGGTTAGATCCACCTAGCCGTATTAGGGTTCATTCCTCTAGAGCTCAGGCACCCTTTGCTGCTGCCTGTTCGAAGAATATCGCTCTTTATGAAACTGTAAGTTAGCTATGTGAAGCTCAGTCCACACCGTTACAGGACACTTCTGTTTTGCAGAGATTCTCAGATCAGATGCCTGCTTTTGTAGGACTACCTGGCAATCATTGTTTAAGTAGGTCTCCTACTGTCCACCTCCAAGCAAACAGATAACTGGTTGTTAGTCACAAAGAATGGAATCCATGTGGACAATCACTAGAAGAGGAAAGAACAGTTACTTACAGTACAGTAACTGTAGTTCTTTGAGATGTGTTGTCCACATGGATTCCGCAACCTGCCCTCCTTCCCTTCTACTACAGAGACCTACTCCTCTGGGATTCTGTATTGTGTGACAGATTCAGAACAGAAGAATATAAGGGAGTGCTGGAAGGCAGGTATATCAGCCTGGATAGCCAAACAAAGGCTACTCTAGGCCAATTAAGACACCTGATGCCAATTAACCAGTTAAAGCCTTTAGGCTAATGGAGACAGCTGAAACCAATCAAGGTCCACTTATACTGTTTAAAAGCTCTCCTTCCAGTACCCTCCAGGGGGCTGAGGTGAAAGAAGCTGGAGGAGAGGAAGCATTGCTGAATCCTGAGGTGAGGGTGAAGCTAGGAAAAGGGGACCATGGGGGAAGTGGCCCAGGGAATCAAAGCGGTATCAGTGGTGAAGGGAAAGCCACCAATAGCTGCTACAATTAGGGTCCCTGGGCTGGAACCTGGAGTAGAGGGCGGTCCTGAGTCCCCATCCCTCCCATACTCTACAGAGATCCCCTGGAGAAGGAAAGCAGGACTTGGTCCAGGCAGGATGCCGAACTGTGCTTACTGAGCACGATGGAGCTACAGAGACTGTGGGGTATTCCCCCTTCCCATTTCCCATACTGGTCGGTGATGAAAGTAAGCCACGAAAGCTTGTGCTCCAATATGTCTGTTAGTCTATAAGGTGCCACTGGACTCCTTGCTGCTTTTACAGATCCAGACTAACACAGCTACCCCTACTCAATAGGCTGTGACTCTTGCCGCTACACTGAGAAAGGGAGGTCACACTGGGGCCTTATCAAGTTTCTGAGGCCACTGAAACTTCCCAGAAGCGCAGTATGCAGTAATTACTCAGAGAAGCCGGCAAGATGTAAGCCTCAGTGGGCTCACCCCAGGCGAACTCCCAGGCAAACTCCTGCTGTTTGCTGCTCTGCTGTCCCCCGCTGCTCAGCTGGTTCCCCGCTGCTCAGCTGACACAAGGAAGAAAGGAAAGCAGCAGAATACGGACCCTGGACTTCAGAAAAGCAGACTTTGACTCCCTCCGGGAACTGATGGGCAGGATCCCCTGGGAGAATAACTGAGGGGGAAAGGAGTCCAGGAGAGCTGGCTGTATTTTAAAGAATCCTTATTGTGGTTACAGGGACAAACCATCCTGATGTGTAAAAAGAATAGTAAATATGGCAGGCGACCAGCTTGGCTTAACTGTGAAATCCTTGCTGATCTTCAACACAAAAAAGAGGCTTACAAGAAGTGGAAGATTGGACAAATGACCAGGGATAAGTATATAAATATTGCTCGGGCATGTAGGAATGAAATCAGGAAGGCTAAATAACACCTGGAGTTGCAACTAGCGAGGGATGTTACGAGTAACAAGAAGGGTTTCTTCAGGTATGTTGGCAACAAGAAGAAGGCCAAGGAAAGTGTGGGCCCCTTACTGAATGAGGGAGGCAACCTAGTGACAGAGGATGTGGAAAAAGCTAATGTACTCAATGCTTTTTTTGCCTCTGTCTTCACGAACAAGGTCAGCTCCCAGACTACTGCACTGGGCAGCACAGCATGGGGAGGAGGTGGCCAGCCCTCTGTGAAGGAAGAAGTGGTTCGGGACTATTTAGAAAAACTGGACGTGCACAAGTCCATGGGGCCAGATGTGTTGCATCTGAGAGTGCTAAAGGAATTGGCGGATGTGATTGCAGAGCCATTGGCCATTATCTTTGAAAACTCATGGCGATCGGGGGAAGTCCCAGAAGACTGGAAAAAGGCTAATGCAGTGCCAATCTTTAAAAAAGGGAAGAAGGAGGATCCTGGGAACTACAGGCCGGTCAGCCTCACCTCAGTCCCCGGAAAAATCATGGAGCATGTCCTCAAGGAATCAATTCTGAAGCACTTATACGAGAGGAAAGTGATCAGGAACAGTTAGCATGGATTCACCAAGGGCAAGTCATGCCTGACTAATCTAATTGCCTTCTATGATGAGATAACTGGTTCTGTGGATGAAGGGAAAGCAGTGGACGTGTTATTCCTCGACTTTAGCAAAGCTTTTGACACGGTCTGCCACAGTATTCTTGTCAGCAAGTCAAAGAAGTATGGGCTGGATGGATGCACTACAAGGTGGGTAGAAAGTTGGCTAGATTGTCGGGCCCAACAGGTAGTGATCAATGGCTCCATGTCTAGTTGGCAGCCGGTATCTAGCGGAGTGCCCCAAGGGTCGGTCCTGGGGCCGGTTTTGTTCAATATCTTCATTAATGATCTGGAGGATGGTGTGGATTGCACCCTCAGCAAGTTTGCGGATGACACTAAACTGGGAAGAGTGGTAGATACGCTGGAGGGTAGGGATAGGATACAGAGGGACCTAGACAAATTGGAGGATTGGGCCAAAAGAAATCTGATGAGGTTCAACAAGGACAAGTGCAGAGTCCTGCACTTAGGATGGAAGAATCCAATGCACCGCTACAGACTATGGACCGAATGGCTAGGCAGCAGTTCTGCAGAGAAGGACCTTGGGGTGACAGTGGACGAGAAGCTGGATATGAGTCAACAGTGTGCCCTTGTTGCCAAGAAGGCCAATGGCATTTTGGGGTGTATAAGTAGGGGTATTGCCAGCAGATCGAGGGACGTGATCGTTCCCCTCTATTCGACATTGGTGAGACCTCATCTGGAGTACTGTGTCCAGTTTTGGCCCCACACTACAAGAAGGATGTGGATAAATTGGAGCAAGTCCAGCGAAGGGCAACAAAAATGATTAGGGGTCTGGAACACATGACTTATGAGGAGAGGCTGAGGGAACTGGGATTGCTTAGTCTACAGAAGAGAAGAATGAGGGGGGATTTGATAGCTGCTTTTAACTACCTGAAAGGTGGATCCAAAGAGGATGGATCTAGACTATTCTCAGTGATAGCAGATGACAGGACAAGGAGTAATGGTCTCAAGTTGCAGTGGGGGAGATTTAGGTTGGATGTTAGGAAAAACTTTTTCACTAGGAGGGTGGTGAAACACTGGAATGCGTTACTTAGGGAGGTGGTGGAATCCCCTTCCTTGGAAGTTTTTAAGGTCAGGCTTGACCAAGCCCTGGCTGGGATGATTTAGTTGGGATTGGTCCTGCTCTGGGCAGGGGGTTGGACTAGATGACCTCCAGAGGTCCCTTTCAACTCTGATATTCTATGATTCTATGACCCACCAATACAGGCTCGGGACTTTATCACAATTGGTGAAGGAAATGAGGGATGGATGCACCTGCTCCACTCTTTATTCCCCTGGGTGGGGAGGAGGTGACCTGGGGATGTCTAAAGCCCAAGTAATAATAAGTCAATTTCATAGTAGAGGACAAATATTAGATAGAGAACAAGAGGGAGGAGGTGTGGCCAGAGTGCCCTGTGTTCTAGCTATGTTTAGCTGGCAGACTGTCCTTAATGGACTGTTGTGCTCTGGCAACTCCTAGGTTACTCTAACCTGCACCTGGGACCAGGCAGAGAATCAGGAAGTAATAGGTAGCTCTCTGATGGCTTCTTTCCAGTTTCGTGCAATGCAGATTGGCCCTAAATTTAAACATTTTAAGTAAATTTTGAGAATCTGCACTTCCCTCATACTTTTTGATCATTATATAAAGTGCAATTTTCAAAGTATGAAAGTTTTCCAGACCAATATGAACAACCTTTAAAATATCTCATGTTAACTTTTTATACAAGGATGCCCTGCCCTCGTGAATGTGAATTGTCTTTGGACTTCAGCCCTCTGTGCGTGTGACTGGTATCTGTAAATGACTGAAGAATATTTATGAGTTGAAGTCAAGGTACACTAACCAAATCTCTTAGGCAGTAACTATGGAAACCTGCAATAGGTCTTTATCTGTTTATTAAAAACATTAAATCTGAGAGGAGTGGAGAAGCTACTATAATAGAGTTCATACTTACGAGACCTTATTTTGAGTGCAGTAGGTGTTTGAGTCATAATAACTTAACTTGGCTAATTATTCCACTACCTGATTGTCTGGCAGTGGCTTGTAATATCCAAATTAAAGGTATTTTTCTTGCTCTTTAATTTTATTTTTTTGTAATTACTCATTTGTCAAACACTGCATTTTCCCTCTCTATTCAACATTGAGCAAAAGCCAGCATTCAAGTTTGTAACTTCTGTGTTAAACTAAAAACATCACTGATGATGTCAGCATATTTTTAAGACCAGCTTTCATAGGCCAAATTCTCAGCCTGGAAATCCATAAACATCCTCTATCCAGATCAGTCTACGGCTAGATGTTCCCTGTATTCAAAGAGCAAATACCATGCATAGACTATAAAACTAGGTAGCAGTGTGGTGAATCTGCAAATTATAGGACTATGATCCTGTATCGAGAAGCAAGAATAAAACTGTAAAAAAGGTCTTAAAAATGAAGGCTGGTTCTTAGGTTTGCTTGGTTAGTGAAACAGAATGCATCAAGTGTTCCTGCATATTTATAGCAATAACTAACTTTGCAAGTTACACAGGCCCAGATCCACAAAGGGACTTAGGCACCTAGAAAATCACTGGAACGATACTATGGTCCACGGTGCCAAGGCTCCCTGTACAATGAATAGGGAGAGATTGGTATCGCAGAATGTTATCCACAGAAGCCTGCACACTAAGCAGGGAGTCACAAAAGCTAGCCAATTGGAGATGCCGAGGGAAGAGATGTGCCCTAAACATTTACCTGTGTTATGGGAGACCCAGGATTAATTTCCCCCTCTTCCTGAGAGAAGAACAGATTTGAAGAGAGGTCTCCCACACCTCTCAGGAGAGAGCCCTAACCACTGGGCTATAAGATATTCTGATGTGGGTCTTTCAGAGTCTCTCCTCATGCAGTTGTTCCACTAACAGAGTACAGCATCCACCGTCTGGACACAATGATTCATTGAGGTGCCAGAGCACTGCTCCTTCCATGGATAACAGAGTTGTTAGGGTTGTGACAGTCAATGTGTCTGATAGGGGTTTTAGGAAGAACACAATCAGACCTACCCCAGTGAGAAATTTTCCTGTCCTGGTCAGAGCAAAATTTTCTGTCTCTATGTGCTCTCCTTACCAAGGAGGAAATGAACACCAAGGATAAACAGTGAGGTGGCAAAATTTGCAGATGATATAAAATTACTAAAGATAGTTAAGACCCAGGCAGACTGCAAAGAGCTACAAAAGGATCTCTCAAACTGGGTGACTGGGCAACAAAATGGCAGATGAAATTTAATGTTATAAATGCAAAGTAATACACGTCGGAAAGCATAATCCCAACTATACATGTAAAATGATGGGGTCTAAATTAGCTGTTACTACTCAAGAAAGAGATCTTGGAGTCATTGTGGATACTTCTCTGAAAACATCCACTCAACGTGCAGTGGCAGTCAAAAACACGAACAGAAAGCTGGGAAAAATTAAGAAAGGGATAGATAATAGGACAGAAAATATCATGTTGCCTCTATATAAATCCATGGTATGCCCACATCTTGAATACTGTGTGCAGATGTGGTCGCCCCATCTCGGAAAAGATATATTGGAATCGGAAAAGGTTCAGAAAAGGGCAACAAAAATGATTAGGGTTATGGAATGGCTTGCATATGAGGAGAGATTAATAAGACTGGGACTTTTCAGCTTGGAAAAGAGATGGTTAAGGGAAGATGTGATTGAAGCCTATAAAATCATGACTGGTGTAGAGAAAGTAGATAAGGAAGTGTTGTTTACTACTTCTTATAACACAAGAACTAGGGGTCACCAAATGAAATTAATATGCAGCAGGTTTAAAACAAATAAAAGGAAATATTTCTTCACACAACGCACAGTCAACCTGTGGAACTCCTTGCCAGAGGATGTTGTGAAGGCCAAGACCATAACAGGGTTCAAAAAAGAACTAGATAAATTCATGGAGGATAGGTCCATCAATGGCTATTAGCCAGGATGGGCAGGAATGGTGTCCCAAGCCTCTGTTTGCCAGAAGCTGGGAATGAGTGACAGGGGATGAATCACATGATGATTACCTGTTCTGTTCTTTCCTTCTGGGGCACCTGGCACTGGCCACTGTCGGAAGACAGGATACTGGGCTAGATGGACCTTTGGTCTGACCCAGTAGGGCCATTCTTATATTTGTATTGCAAAAGTTGGATAAGCAGAGTAGCTCCTACATCCAGAAATACCTTTACTCATTGAGAATTTATTTGGTGGTCTAATGATTGACCTCTTTGCATCTGGAAAGAGTAAAAAAAAAAAAAAAACCAAACAAACAAAAAAACAAGTGACCTGCAGCCCTTCTGTGTGTTGGGACCTGGGATGTGAGATTGTGAAGGGCCTTTTGCCAAGCTGGGCAAAGTCTCTAGTATATGTCTTTCCATCTTTTCCACTTCTCCTCAGGACAGTGCAAAAGATGGGAAGGAGAGAGTGGCAGAGATACTTTTCATCTTTGCGGGCTGAAGAGGCTATGGCTCTGAGGAATAACCTAGTGTAGGATCTTTGGATGTCTCTGTCTCACAGAAGAAGTCTGCTACTGCAAGATCAATCCTTCATCTCAGACCAGACAGGTTTAAAATAAATAGCTGGATGAAATGATTATTGCTTTAATAGACACTTCCCACCACTCCTCCCCCAAAAATAAGTCAACAAACACTTGTTCTAATAGCTGGTGCAAAGTCCAGAGTTTAAGTACCATGTTAAACAAGTGAAACACAGAACTGAGTTCCTTCAGGAGGATTTTATTTGAGTGGGAGTGTCCAACCAAAAAAGTCAAGTCTCTGTAGTATAATGTTCTCAGTGTGTTCAAGAAAGATAACTTTTCTACAGATCCCAACATAAAATCTTTCTTAGGGCATCAACTCTTATTCCAGTCCTGCAAGGTCATAGAGCACAACATAGTAACCTTATTTTGCTTCTTACATTACAACCCAGGTTGAACTCCTGCAGCAGGTTTTATTAGTGGGAGTGTTGAAAGCAAGATACTAGAAGTAATTCTTCCATTCTACTCAATACTAATGAGGCCTCAACTAGAGTACTGTGTCTAGTTCTGGGCACCAAGCTTTGAGAAAATCCAGAGGAGAGCAACTAAAATGATTAAAAGTCTAGAAAACATGATCCCTGAGGAAAGGCTGAAAAAATTGGGTTTGTTCAGTTTAGAGAACAGAAGACTGAATGGGATATGATGACAGTCTTCAAGTACATAAAAGGTTGTTATAAAGAAGAGTTTAGCAGTATGTGCTGGCTAGCATATATTTATATATGTCAATAATATGTATTATCTGTACCGTATGCATATTAGCAGGCATGAAGCACAAATAGCATTAAGCACATTGTAGCAGTTATATAGCCTAAATTGGCCTATACCTTTACTATCATCCTGTTCACTTACGCTAAATATTCCACAGCACCTTGCATTAGCAAAAATAAGCTTTGATTTCAGTAGATAGGAAAGCTGTCAGGATCAGGACATATGAGTATTTTACCACAGCAAGAAGCTATTATCACAAGCCAATACTGGAATATCGCAAAAGAAGATGACAAGATATATGATTGTTCTACCCTCGTACAAACCTGGAAGTTGCCTTCACAGACCAGTACCTGGAATGGTCGTATCCGAAACAAAGATAAGGAAAGTAACAGAACAATAAGTTAAGGAACTGTGACAAACTGATGGTTTGAATTTTAGTGACCTGTAAAGAGATGTGTAACTTGTAAAA